GTACCTGTTCCAGCGTCTGGCTGGGCAGGTGTGGCTCGGCTAGCTGCAGGCCGTACTTCTGACTCGCCAGGGTTCGCATCTCTCCGTACGTCTTCCAGTCATGCAGCGCGACCGTCGTCAGATTGTAGAACGTCCGGTCGAGGTAACCTTCCACGTGAACTACAGGGAGGAAGGGAGGAAGCACGTTAGTGGGAACAGCCACACTCTTACTTCTTCTACCAGCACCCCCTCCCTCCACAGCGCCACTGTCGTCAGATTGTAGAATGTCCGGTCCAGGTAGCCTTCCACGTGAACTATAGGGAGGAAGCACGTTAGTGGGAACAGCCACGCTCTTACTTCTTCTACCAGCACCCCCTCCCTCCACAGCGCCACCATCGTGAGGTTGTAGCAGGTCCTGTCCAGGTAACCCTTCACGTGAACTACAGGGAGGGAGGAAGTGTGTCAGATAGAATGGCCTTACCATTGGCTCTTACTTCTTCTTACCAGCACCCCCCCCCTCCGCTGCCGGTAATTCCAAAGTCCCTCCTTTTGAATGCAGCCTCCCACCGTTTCTGTTCGTTACGCCTGCCACTACCCTCTCGTATGCCCCAGCTTCCCTTTCATCCCACTTCTCTTTTGCATCTACGTTGCTCACCTCGGCTACATTACATCTCCCCCTCACTTCCCCCACCTCTCCTGCTTCCCACCTCCCCCTCACATCCCCCACCTCTCCTGCTTCCCACCTGCCCCTCGCTCACCTTTGATGTTAATGAAACTGTGAAAGAACCGCGTTGGCTTCACGCGCAGCAGCCGCGACGGATCGCGCAGTCCCTTCTTGTACGGGTTCCCACCTCCCCCTCACATCCCCCCACCTCTCCTGCTTCCCACCTGCCCCTCGCTCACCTTTGATGTTGATGAAACTGTGGAAGAATCGCGTCGGCTTCACGCGCAGCAGCCGTGACGGATCGCGCAGGCCCTTCTTGTACGGGTTACGATCGTCCAGCTGCAGGTGCGAGTGTATGTGCAGCCGCAGGTCCGTCTCCACCTCCCTGCACATAGGGGCCAGCAGGTGCTGCGCATAGAGGTCACGGCAGAGGT